ATATGTTCTTCCGTTTCTGGTTCTTGGCTGCACAGTACACATAAATGGTTATTACCAACGCCTCTTTTTATAAGGTTCACTCGTGTTGGGATTCTACCATGTGCTACTCTCCAAGCTAAAATATTAACCTTTTTAGGGACAAGATTATTCCAGTCCTATTCTATCATTGATCTAGGTAAGATAGAGTTAATGATGAAGTTTCTTAGGGAAGAGACTGAGTATATCCCTGATGGTTCCAAGTTCAAAGACCATTTGGTATGTTGAGTTGTTTGTGATTCTATAAATAAGCTTCTGAAGTCTATATTTTCTTTTGAGAAAATTATTGGCAGGTTTGCAAAGTTTCCCCAGCAACAACTCTTTCTTTTTGCCCTAGAAGGTGCATTGAAACCCCCGTCGCCTACGTAGATTGCTATAATGACACTCTTCCACAGTTCCTGTTTATTCCCTAGCAACGCGAGGTTAGGGGCTTTAAGGCTTCCAATATCTAATCCATCATTTACTTATTTCGAGAGCACTTTCTCCCAGGCAATCCATGGTACTTTTTATTTTTTCTGTCGATCCACCCCCAAAGAAGCGTCTTATTTTATTCAAGAGAGTTAATGACTTTGGCTGGTGCCTTGTAGATCGAGAAAAGGAAAGTACCTAGGCCACTAAGCACTGATTTGCATAATGTTAGTCTTCCACCAAATAAGAGTGTAGAGGCCTTCCATTTTGATAGTTTAGCTTGAAATTTGGATATCAAGCTGCTCTAATGAGATGTTCTTGAGATTGTTGGGAATCAGCCCTTCAATATCACTCAAAATGAACTTACACACAAGAAGATGAGTGACATTTGAATAAGTATACAAAAGAAGTATACTGAAGTTACAGAACAAAAGGTTTTACTGCCATACTCTCTTTCTCTCTGCACACTTTATTCATATAAAGAAGGACTATATATATAGCCCTTGAAAGCAACCTACAAGCTGTAAAATAGCATTAAAATACTCCTACACCTAAGGACTCCTAAAGACTAGGTACTACCTAATGACCAATTATCCCCACATGCACATTCTCAACGTACAAACCATAAATCTTGATGAAACTAGGAAGGCTTATTCCAACTAATAATCTATCTACTAAAACAAAATAAATAAATCAAGATTAACCCAACATTCACCCCCTTAATCTTGATTATTCTTAATCTTGCTTCTCTTGCTATAATCTTGCTCAGACTTCTTGACTGCTACTTGCTACATACTTCTGGTTTGCTACTTGCTACAAACCTCTTGCTTTCTATCTTGCTTTTCTTGCTTGCAATCGGCTCTCTCCTGCTTGTTAATCACTTGCTGCTTGCTTCTTCTTTCTTACCTGCTAACAAACAACAAAATTCTGTTGTTGCATCTTTCTTCTGACTAACAAACATGATCAGACTTGTTGCTTGTCTTACATTCTTGCTTTCTTTCTTGTCTGCTACTTGCTACAGACTACTTGCTTTTCTTGCTCTTGCTTGCTAACATACAACAAACATGTTGCTTCTTTCTTCTTTCTGTCTTTCTTCTTTCTGCTTTCTTTTTTCTGTGTTTCTTCTTTCTTCTTTCTTCTTTCCAATTTGTTGTTGTGCAGCCAATCTTCATGCTTGCTGCTTACTTTCTTGCTACAGATCAATCGATCCTCATATCACCAAACTTCTTGCTTTCATCCTCTATTTCTTGCTGAGAACCAGGTGTGAACCTGGGTGCTCTGATACCAAATGTTGGAACCAACCCTTCAATATCACTCAAAATGAACTTACACACGAGAAGATGAGTGACTTTTGAATAAGTATACAAAAGAAGTATACTAAAGTTACAGAACAAAAGGTTTTATTGCCATACTCTCTTTCTCTCTGCACACTTTATTCATATAAAGAAGGACTATATATAGCCCTTGAAAGCAACCTACAAGCTGTAAAATAGTATTAAAATACTCCTACACCTAAGGACTCCTAAAGACTAGGTACTACCTAATGACCAATTATCCCCATATGCACATTCTCAACGTACAACCCATAAATGTTGATCAAACTAGGAAGACTTATTCCAACTAATAATCTATCTACTAAAACAAAATAAATAAATCAAGATTAACCCAACAGAGATTGTGGTGCCTACGGGAAGACCTAAGTAGACAAATGGCAGGTTGCCAATAGAACATTGAATGCTCCTAGCTTACAGTTCGATTTCAAGGTTGCCTATACCCAAGCCAAAAAGATTGCTTATTGTTAAATTAACATTAAGGCCCGAAGCGAGTTCATAACAACGTAGGATTCTTATAAGATTCTTGGCATTTTGGGTCGACCACTCACCGAGAAAGACCACGTCGTCTGCATATTGGAGGTGTTTCAGGATTGGACAGTTATTTGGGAGAGGAATGCCTTTAAAAATGTTTTGGCTCAAGGCTTCTTCCATTGCTATATTGAGTCCTTCAGCAGCTAGGATGAATAAAAATGGTGAGAATGGGTCCCCTTGTCTAATTCCCCTCTCTAAAGCAAATTCTTTAGTTGCAAATTCGTTAACTATTATTGAGGCTCTGGTTGATGAGAGGCAACCCCAGATCTAGTTTCACCACTTTACCCCAAAATTCATCCGTGACATAAGAACATCCGGTGATCCATGTACATCCAATTCACACAATCAAAGGTCTTTGAACTTTGAAAAGGAAAGCCTTGATTTTAGCTTTTTTAGCCCATGATATGACTTCATTTACAATCAATGGCATGTCTAGTATATTTCAATTTTTTATGAAGGCTGTTTGAGTTGGGCTAATGACAAAATCGATAACTAACTTCAACCTTTCGGCTAGCACCTTCGAGATGATCTTATAAAGGCATCCAATTAAGCTTATTGGTCAGTAATACTTTTAGCTTTAAGTTTAAGCAAAACATTCCAAATTTAAAACATATTTAATGTAATGTTTAAGAAAAAGCTATTGAGCTCTTACAATTAATTTTCATAATTGCCTTTCAAAATATATTTACATATTTACCTTTTTTAAACAATTATCATTTTATGTAATTTTACATGTTTTAAAAGCTTTTAACTACTTTTACCAAACATCAGAGACGTCTAGTTGATTTTGGGGCCTGTGTAAAAAAATAAAATTGGGCTCTTAAACATATTTTGTTTTAGTATAAGCAAAATTGATTAATACTATGATAAATCGATAATTGTTAGAAAAATAAAGTACGATAATATATAATATAATCTTACGTAGTTACATTAATTACAATACTATCATAACATTCTTAAAAACAAAGTTGTTCACCAACTCTTTATAATAATACTCCCTAATATATTATTCACAATATCTATCAAATATATTGTTCTCAATATCTATCATTTCTAAATCATTAAGTCTTTCTTGTGAAATATGGACCGTAATAGGACTTTAACAACTTTAATTTTAAGAAACTTCTTTCTACAGATGCAACACTTACTAGAATTGACTTTTTCATATATTTTGAAACATCGGTAGGGTTAGTGGTTTCACTCGGTAAGAACTCTCCAACCAGATTTAACTCCAGATAAAGTTCATTGACGTCAATATTTGATCGTTCACCATACTTAAGTGCAGCTTCAAGACAAATACAACACAACTTAATATCTTTGTCATCAAATTCATTTAATGTTTTGGAAGCAAAAATTCAGAAATCTTTTCATACTTATTGTATTGTTCAAATCTTGTTTTAAAAAAAAGTCGTCGCTTAAAATTGAAACAATAAAAAATGCAAGCCACAACTGAAATCGATCGATTCTAAAGTAAAAACACAACAGGTGATCATTGGATTTCTCAAAAAATCGTTTCTAGTTTTTTAAAATTGAAACAATCAATTAATCAATAATATGAAATTGAAGGCCAAAAGAGATTATGAAATTGAGTGATCTTACTGGATTTTGAAACTTACAATTTTGATTTTAGAATTGAGATGGTGCATTGATTTTGAAACAATCAGTTAATCAACAATTAAACACACACTCTCAATGACTTAGCGGGTTCAAGAGAAGGTGTAGCGTCCTAGCGACTTCCAATTTAGATAGACAAGAATCAAAGGGTGAACTGACTTTGTCATGATGATGGTACCTTTGGATTAATTTTGTTTCCGGGACTGGATTACTAGTCTACTATGATGAATCGTTTGTAAAAATCGGGCCCTTCCATGATATGGGTCCGTGCGGTCGTCTATCTCACACACCCTCAAAGACGTCCATGACAAACATTCATATAACAAATAAAAACTACAGCTTCCAGCTATCAGCTAATTTTGCCAAAAACACACAAAGTATCGATCACATACCTAATTTGAAAAGACTATATACTAGCAACCAAAAAATGTTACATAATCCTGCCTCTCTATTTTTGCTCGTAAAGGCCTAAAGGGGAAATCCGAATGAGACGTTATGTATTCTTTAATCCTAAATGTATTTACAAATTATTTGTTATTGTCTGCTAATAGTTATTAGTTATTAATAAATAATATACGTGGATTTTGTCGAATGTATTTATGCTTTATACTTTTTGAGTTTTATTTTTAATGATATTATTTCGTTCGCAAAGCTACATGAAAATTAGTCTTTTAAGTTTTAAGTAAGCAACGTCAACAGATAGGAATTGGTGTTTACCAATTAGATTATTTTATTACATCTATTCATGTTCAATACGTTTTTTTTAAACGAATGAATATTAACAAATTTGCCGATACTACAAAATACAAGTTATTTTGGAAGAAGTACAATGCATTTTTATTAAAATATGTGAAATATTGGAACAATGTTTTATTTTATTACTGTATTAAATTATGCAACAATGTTTCACTTCATACCAAAGTTTAGAGATTTATCTATTTATATAAAACTTATTTAAATAAACACAATTTACTGGAACTCACGTTTTCATCAATCAAGTTATTTCAAACAAAATAAATAAATAATAATACTTTTCACAAATACATGTAAATGTTGTTTTTTGGTGTACAAATTGATGGCCACGTATCTCACATGAAGCGGAGAGTATTTTCCCACGAGTAAAAGCCCAAGCCATGCCCAACTACAACCCCACCTTCAGCTACGTGGTTGTACGGACGACGAGTTTCAGATAGAATCTACAGAATGAGAGCGTTGTACGGCGCGTGCACATCTGCTCTCCTTACCACCACCGTCACGCGCCAATCGAGTCTCTTTAGCGCGAGTAAACTGCAGCCGTGTCAGCGGCTTAGAGGAGGAGCTATTAGTGCCAAGGGTGGAATGGCAGTTGCGACGGCGGATGACCAGCGGTTGAAGAAAGGAATAGCGGAGTTCTACGACGAATCATCTGGAGTTTGGGAGAATATATGGGGAGAACACATGCATCACGGCTTCTACGACCCCGACGCCGTCGTACAGATCTCCGACCACCGATCTGCTCAGATCCGTATGATTGAACAAGCACTCCATTTCGCCTCTGTTCCCGGTATTTATCGTACTTTTTTTTTCTTTATTAAATCATGGTATCTCGCACTTTCACCAATTAGTCGACGAGTTGCATGTAAAACGCCTGGCTCAATAGCACAGTTCCGATAATAAGCCATGATTGATTGAGTGCAGCATGTCGACTACTTGAGCTTCCATTTAATCCTTTACCGGAGGAATCCCTTGGTTGGTGTTTATCTAACCAACTACTTTACTACGCTCTCGTTTTGAATTAATTTTGATTCTGTTCGTTTGATTTTCCACTGCATCTTTCATTTCAATCCTAGCATCCTCGAATTTCGAATCCGTTCTCAGTTTGTACTCCTTAATTCGATTCTGTTCAAAATACACACATATATTTAGACTTCTTGTTTCAGTTTATCAACGTTAATTTCCAATATGTACTCTTTTAATTTAATTTAATGGCACTCAGATCATCAATGAATGAAGTGAAAGTCCAACTTATTTTTTGAGATTATCAGTTTCTTTCTCATTGTTACCAGCCTTGTTATTCTCCCTCAGACTCCCCCTTCTTTTCTTATTTCAAAGCTTCTTTCTTATATGAAGTTTGTTTACATCGAATGTGTTCATGCCCTTGGTAATTAGTTCATCAATATCTTTTCAAAGAATCCAATTGAAAGATTTCAAGTAAAGGATCATGTTAATGTCATATATCAATATGATCAATTGGTATTTCCCTCAAAGCTATCTATATGTTTTCAATTTTCACCATACATGATGAACAATTCTTCTTATAGAGGACTCCCAGAAGAAACCTAGGAGCATAGTTGATGTTGGATGTGGCATTGGAGGTAGCTCAAGGTACCTATCAAGAAAATACGGGGCAGAATGTTATGGCATCACCCTCAGCCCTGTACAAGCCAAGAGAGCCAATGATCTTGCTGCTGCCAAAGGATTGGCCAACAAGGTATCAATTTTTACACTTTCAAAAAAAAAAAAAAAAAATCAACAAACAAACTACCCCACATCTTCTTCATACATATATATTCTATCATATGAACTAAACTTGACAGTTGACACTCTATGAACAATAAACAGGTCTCATTTGAAGTTGCAGATGCTTTAAACCAGCCATTTCCTGATGGAAAGTTTGACCTGGTTTGGTCAATGGAGAGCGGAGAGCATATGCCTGACAAACTAAAGGTTCTGTTGACTTCACCCCATATATTTGGGGTCCCATGCGTTTTGTTGTGTTCTGAATCTCTTTATGCTGACAATTTGACAGTTTGTTAGTGAGTTGGCTCGTGTAGCTGCGCCAGGTGGCACCATAATTATAGTGACATGGTGCCACAGGGACCTTTCCCCTAGTGAAGAATCCCTACGACCAGATGAAAAAAGGCTTTTGGACAAGATTTGTGATGCATTTTATCTTCCTGCTTGGTGTTCTACTTCTGATTATGTAAACTTATTGGAATCCCTTTCACTTCAGGTAAAAATATATACAGTTTTCCAATACATGGTTTTTGGATCAAAATTGAAAATTCATATAATATTTTTGAGTATTGTCAGGATATAAAATCAGCTGACTGGTCGGAGAATGTTGCCCCATTTTGGCCAGCTGTGATAAGGTCTGCATTGACATGGGAAGGTCTAACTTCATTGCTACAAAGTGGTAATTAATTGGCTTTTACTTTTTTTTTTATTACGGTTTTACCCTTTATACTGTTGCTCTTTGGTGATGAGAAAAATGAATATTGGAATTAATTTGAGTAGGATGGAAGACTATAAGAGGGGCATTAGTGATGCCGTTGATGATTGAAGGATTCAACAAGGGTGTGATTAAATTCTCGATTATTACATGTAGAAAGCCTGAATAAGTAAGTATATGTATGTATTCCTAGACTCTTACTGTTTGTGCCACATTGGTACCTAAGATAAGATACACATGAAATTCAAAAGAGATTCTTGAATGAAAAAAAGTAAAATTATATCTCCAAGAGTTGGGTGAGACGTATACGTTCTTCACTTTTTTTTTTTTTTGGTTAGAAAAAGGTGAAACTTATTGCTGAGTTTTGTTGATTCTGTTTTGGGCATATGAGCTTAGACAGTAGTACACGCAATTTAAAACCAGTGGTATTCACCAAACTAAAGTTTGAAGTTGATGGTTTTAGGGGCCTTTTAAAACGAATATTTTTGAAAATGATAGCTATGTATGTGGAAAGGGTGATGGAACATTTTTTTAGCCATATACAACAATATATGTTTTATATAATTTTGAAGTACAACCATCTAATGCATAATTTGTTGTGTATGGTTAGAAAGTTAGAAAATTATATAAAGTTTGTTAGTTTTTTTTAATGTGGAAAACGTTGGATTTGAGTATTTAAAGTAACAATAGATGTCACCGACAAAGAAGGGAACGTTTAGTACAATTTATAAAAGGCAATCTCAAACATCAAACAAGAATTTCCAAATGATGAAACAATTGGTGCCGATGTTCTAAGGCAAAATTCTCAATTCGAAATAAAAATGAAGATGAAAAAAAGAATGATCCTCCATGTTATCTTTCAAACTAAATATTATTCCTTCGCTTTCCACATGTCATAAAGACTTCTCTTCATCTTGGTCTTACACGAGGCTATTCTTGTGTTTTCTCCAAATGTACACCTTCCATTCGTTGGACTCTTTGGGCATAGTGGCCATGGGCTCATCATGGGGTAGAATAGATTAGCATTGTTTTCTCCATGTATCAGTCTAGACCATTGTACTTTATAATATCTTTGAGGACCATATATACAAGTAAAATTTTATGAGAAATCAAATTTCTTCCTATCTTGTTTTTATATTACATTTTGATAAAATTAATAATATTTTAAGACTTATCATCATTTCATATGAGGTAGGAAGATAAGTAGGAAAATATTTAATTTCTCAATTTTTATATGTATTTTGCCAACAAAATACATAAACAATCTAATGTTTTCTTCAGATTTTAATGTTGAAAACCATTAGGAACACTATAAACAATATCATAAATAAGAACGGACAAATTATAAGGCAAAATAAAAAAGTTGGTTAAAATGATTTTCTTTGTCAAATATAAGTTTTTTTTTTTTTTTTTTTAAATTAGGTTTTTCTGGAAAAAATGTTAATTACTGGAAGACTACCTGGGAAAAATTGTCAAATTTAAGTTTTTTTTTGTCATCCAGAGAAAAATGTTAATTACTGGAACAGTTCATTCCATATACCAAACTTTATATTCAAACCATACCAGTCGTTAAATTACTTTATCAATAATATAGCTATACATCAGTAATCATGTCAATTCTATCATTTTGTTCATTCTTAATTAATTTAGGAAACATTGTAAGTTGATACAAAACAATGAGACGATGACAATATTTATGTTCCCAAAACGTGTACATTGCATCCATCATGTCTTTTTTTTTTTTTTTAGCATCCATCATGTCATATTGGAGAAGCCACACAAGACATGGTTTAATGTCATAATAAGTATTATTCAAGAGTTATTAATAGTAATATTCACTTACTAATATATCATTAAGTTTCAGTCACATTAACGAAGAACACCTTGATATGAGTATGACATTTGTAAGTAGTAAGGAAGGCTATCCATAAAAATAAAATGAATCAATGCTTATCATTGAAAATATATTCAGCTGTTTATAAAATGGGAGGTGATTCTTTCACACATAAAATATAAGTTTCACCGACTTGTATGATAGTTGCAAGGGTGTTGTACCTTCTGTGAATGAATCAATTTCATAATTGGAAATATCACCTCTGGAAATGAAAATTGTGGTTAGAAGTTTGTGCTTGAAACCTTATAAGAATATGTGTCTACAATATACCTTTATGGTAAAAAAAACACAAACGAATCTCACTATGATACACACACTCACTCTTTAAGTATGATGAATACGGAGCTTAGAAGGCAAATCCACCTTGAGAAAAGCTTCTGTGATCAATTTTGCCGACTCTTTGAGGCGGCCAGAGAATGTGTGTAACCCTTCCACGAATTAACCCCAGTGGAATCTATAAACAAAATAATAAATTAATAAATTAACATTTTAGTTTTCATGTTCAGGGCATATATGTTCAACATAAAGAAGTACATACGGGGCCAAATGATCTGGAGTCCAGGCTGTCGGTGGGATTGTCTCCTTCAACCCAACAATGGCCTTCTGGAACCTTGACAGCATCATACGAATATGGAAGACTGATCCAGTCACCTGGCATGCCAGTTATACGTTTTATCATGTGTTTCTCCTTGTAACTACTTGGTGAGCTGCAAAAACATCTCATCACTCCATCAGAATCAACATCACCAAACCAAATAATCAACTACCAAATTTACTTTGTGTGGAATGGATGATATGATTAATTGAATCATATTCGTAACACATGGAAAAATATATGTAAGAAAATAATGGAAGTAAAAAAAAAGCTGTTACTATACCAGAAAACTACAACATCACCATGTGAGAACCTGTAATCCATGAGGCAACGTTTCTCCACCAAGACATGATCATCTGCACAGACGAAAACCATTAATTAACTTAGTCAATCAAACTAGCACAACCAAACTGTGTAGTGTGTAGGTTTTCGCTAAATTAATTAGAAACCTACCAGTAAACAATCCCAAAGAAGTGGTCTTGTCAGGATTGAATGTGGGTGACATAGAGAATCCCCTTACAGGGACAATACTAGCAACACGGTCTGATATGGTGAGACCTATTAACCCAAATGTCAACGACGATTTACACACATTCCACACAAAACTTGGAGTTACCATATTTCTATTAAAAACACAAATCAAGAATCAAGCAAAATCCATCTGCATTCTGCAACCACAAAAAACAATCAATATAGACATTAATTAACAAACACTACAGCTCTTGTTTATCCTTCTTCATATACAAACACTATCAGTTCAAACAATTGACCAATATAAAGAAAAAAGAGCTTCAAAGTAGTACCTTTGACATACAAAAACTGACATATATAATATTTCAATGTACTGTTTATACACGATGTTCTAGTGGAAATCAAACTTGTTTATTAATATAGACAGTAAAGCAAAACACACAATGTAATTAATCTGAGATGAGTTTTTTTTCATCACAATCAAATCAAGAAATACACATGGCATTCAACAAAATTAGAACTTGCGAATAACCCCTGAGCGCATGTGTCTGTGTGATAATTGATTAGTTGACAGGAAATTTGTGATGAATACACGGAGAGAGTTGAACGAATACGTACTTGGTGAGCGGAGGAGCAACCGGCCGGGAGCGGTGGTGAGGGAGTTGCGCCCTTGCTGTGTCTGTGCCGGACGAATTTGGCTTTTTGTGTTTGCTTTTTTCCCAATTTTATTTATTCAAAAGTTACAGTTAACCCACGCCAACTTTACTCATAGTTGTAATCTCACCCCCAGCCCCCAGACTCTGTTAATTACAATCATGCCCCCTTCTTCTTCCGTGAATTGCCATGGAAATGGAGATGGAAAAGGGTGTGAAGAGATGGTTGGTCAACATATCACAGTGGAATCCCACACCCAATGAATTCTACATCGCCATGTCTGTTTTACCTCAAGAACAACACTCCTCTGTCACCAGGTAAGGCCGATATTACTGTTATAATTGAACTCGACTTCGCAAATTGAAACCTTTGGTAGTTGAATCTTTGTTGGTGGGTGAAATTAATTAGGTTTATGAAAACTGAAGACCAAAAGAGGGCACTTGTGAGCCGGCTGTTGCAGTATGCACTTGTGCATGAGGTTCTAGAGATTCCATTTGAAGAGATTATCATCATTCGAACTCCTGAAGGCAAGCCGTATCTGGTATTTGTTTGAATTGGACTGAAACTTCACATTCTTCTTATGCTTTTGTGCCTCTGACTCTGATCACTGTGTCATGTATGATCATGTCCTTGCTTCTCTCTTCTAGGAAAGCCATAAGAACAGTATGAAATTTCCAAATTTCAACTTTAATGTATCTCATCATGGTGACTATGTGGCGATAGCCTCTGAGCCCATTTGCCTTGTGGGTTTAGACATTGTATGTTGCGTCAATCCTGGGAAAGAAACGGTTTCAGAGTTCATTCACAATTTCTCATCATACTTTTCAAGTTCAGAATGGGAAAAGATTGTCAATGCTGGTTCTGATGATCATGTCCTGGACGTTTTTTTCAGGTGAAACTACAATTTGCTTGCTTGTTTTCTTGATTAAAAGGCATTCTTTTTTTGTATCCTCCCTTAGTCAAACTAAGGGAAATTTAAGATTTTCAAGGTTCATATTAATGTACTTGATGGTTGTGAATGGTATGATTAATGTATGGTTTGAAAGTGGAACAGGAATTGGTGTTTGAAGGAAGCATTCGTGAAGGCCTTAGGAACAGGAGTTGGGTATAAATTAGATTATGTGGAGTTTCAACACAAAGATTGGGCTGATATATATGTCAAAGTAGATGGAGATACATTGAAGGACTGGAATTTCTGGCTTTTTGAACTTCAAGGGAGACATCGGGTTAGTGCCCTTCAACTTATATCTTCCTTAACTCGTTTAAGGTGTTTGGTTCTTTTTGACTTAATGGGCTTATTGGGGACACAAGTCACTTAATCTGTTAAGCTTTGTATGGGTGGTGTTTCTTTTTGAAGGGTATTTTAAATAATTGTAATTTAGTTATACGTTGAACTATATATAAATGGAAAGTCTTGTCTATTTGACTCTTTTTGTGGATTTATGTAGGTTGCGGTTGCTAGGGGTCACCCAAGAATGGCCTCTGAAAGTTACAAGAAAACTCTCAAACAGACTCATTTTGACAATGATCTTTACAAACTAGGTTTCCATTTACCAAATCCAAGGTTTCTTACAAGAACAGTTGAAGAACTTTGTGCCCTTTTCCCTTTATGTTCATACAAAACTTCATTTTGAGAATTCGTTAATTGTATTAATACTTCACATATTCTAATCGAAGACGATAAAATGCATTGTAATTGAATTGATTCCATTTTATGTAGCACGTCAAGAAAATCAAGATAGTGTTGTGCATTATATTAGTTGTATCAATCTGTAATTTTTCATCACTTGCTCTTTCGCTTCTGAACTTCCATATAGTTTGTCATAATGTCCTTATGTAAGGCGTGACCTTTTTGTATCATTTGCTTCAATTATAATTTTGCATTAAACCTTGATTGTAACTCTTAAGAGACAAAACTGAGGATGAACTTTTTAAACCGAACCCACTTGGCGGGTTTGAAGGATTTTTAAGTTCTTGGATTTAATTTCTTATTTTTGTCCATTTTGTTCCTTTGATTCCATCCAATCAAATTGATAACATTGTCATATGATTATGATAGATATAAATTATAAGGTTTTGAATGAAAAACATAAATGCTACAAAGAATAAAGCGGAGAATGAATACTAGCTAGACAAAACCCTAATGGGCTAAAGACTAAGGGCCCATAAACATGTTGGCTAATAATATATAGGCTAACATCCTCTCTCAAACTCACAATGCCACAATAATAAGCATTGAGAGTTTGTCAAACACGAACCGAAACCGAGAAGTCGATAGAGCATTCGTAAAAATATCCGCAAGCTGCAAGGTTGATGAAACAATCGGAAACGATATGGTCCCGAGCTGTAAGTGATGACGAGTAAAGTGACAATCAATCTCAATGTGCTTCGTCTGCTAGTAGAAAACAGAATTCTTCGCAATTTGTATCGCACTTTTGTTATCACAATGCAGGAGAGTAGGTGAAGAAATGTGAACTCCCATATCTGCAAGCAGCCACCGTAACCAGATAATCTCACATGTAGTCACAGCCATGGCACGATATTCAGCCTCTGTGGAAGATCTAGAGACAACGTCCTGTTTCTTGCTCTTCCATGAAATGAGAGACTCTCCAAGAAATACGCAAAATCCAGTGGTGGATTTACGATCATGACGATCGCCAACCCAATCAGCATCACTATAGGCACGTAACTCAAAAGAAGACGTTGAGGGAAACAAGAAGGTCTGAAACTGAGTGTCGCGAAGATATCTCAGAATGTGGAGTACAGCTCCCCAATGAACAGAGGCAGGAGCAGTAACAAACGGCTGACAACATGAACAGCATGAGCAATATCCGGACGAGTAACTGTGAGATAAACCAAACTTCTCACAACAGTGCGATAAAGATGACAAAGGAACACAATCAGTAGGAGAATACCGTGCATTGGTTTCAAGAGGAATATCAACAGTTCGATTGTCAGAGAGCCCAGCCCGTGTAAACAAGTCAGATATATATTTAGTCTGAGAAAGAAGATACCCTTTCTTAGATTGAGCCACCTCAATACCCAAGAAATAACGTAGCAAGCCCAAATCCTTCATAACAAATCGATGAGCTAGATCATGCTTCAAAGACTCAATACCACCATGGCCATCACCAGTAATAATCATTTCATCCACATATAATGACAAAAGAATATGTCCTGCACTTGAGCATCTAACAAACAAAGTCGAATCATGATTACTCTGGACAAATCCAAGAGAGGTAATCACTATGGAGAATTTCTCAAACCAGGCACGAGGTGCTTGCTTGAGACCATACAAAGCTTTGCGAATCCGACAAATCTCACCCGGCTGGTGTTGAATTCCTGGGGGAGGAGTCATATAAACCTCTTCATGGAGGTCACCATTCAAAAATGCATTCTTGACATCCATTTTAAAGATCTTCCACTGTCGAACGGATGCAACTACAATCATAGTATGGACTGTCGTCATCTTTGCCACTGGGGCAAATGTCTCCTCATAGTCAAAACCGTACTGTTGGGAATACCCTTTTGCTACAAGTCTGGCCTTGTACCGCTCAACAGACCCATCAACTTTTGTTTTTATCTTGTACACCTAACGACAACCTATCGTATGTTTCCCATGAGGAAGGGAAACCAAATCCCATGTATGAGTCTGATGAAGAGCAATGAGTTCCTCAGCCATAGCATTCTGCTAAAGAGGATCTGAAACAACTTCTCTATACGATTCAGGTTCAGAAAAATGATGGATGTTCGCTATAAATGAAGCAAATGGTCCTGAGTATGTAGAGTAAGCAAAATCTGGAAGCTTGGTGGACTTGATATGTAACATCCGGATTTTCAGGTATGTTATTTTGAAATTATTTATTTTGAGGATCATTGATCTACTCGACGAGTTGGCGCTATAACTCGTCGAGTAGAAGCGGGGTGGCCACGTGAGTTTAATGAACTACTCGACGAGTCCAAGAGTAGACTCGCCGAGTAGGCGCTGTAAGTGGAAACCCTAGATCCCTGGGTTTGGGACCTATTTAAAGGCACTTATAGCCTCATTTGCGGCCACACCCCTCTGAGAAGAAACCCTAATCGCCCCTTGAGCTTGTGAGAGAGTCTTGAGCCTTACTTGAGATTTGTGAGTACATTTTTGGTAAAGGAAAAGAGGATTCCAAGCTAGGATTGAGAAGAGGCTGATAGATCTACTGCTTATTCGTCCAAGAGCTTCTATTAGAGGTATCAAGTTCGAATCTTTCCCTTTTATTTGAGTAGATCTCTTATCTTGGAGTTTAGGGATTCTTTTCCTTTATTTTTGGGACTTTGAGGATTTGGGGTTCATGTGGAGGATTGAACTCCAGATCTAGACCTTAGGAGGTCCCTAGCACCCAAAGGTTCCTGCTTTATTCAGCATTGATGGTATTTATGAGTGAAAACCCCATTTAAATCATGTTCTTGGCATTTCATGCCCAAAATGTCATGCATGGACATCAAGTTCAGACCTTTACGTAACTTTTGAGTGTTGGAAGGCCAGATCTATAGATTAGAGAAGCAGATCTGACCTCAGGAGGTCGTTTGAGCATTCTCATGGAAGAAACTCGCTGAGTCCATGAGCGGACTCGACGAGTCGGATTGTGTTGCACCACGATTCGTGATCAGTGGTAACCATTGAGAGAAAGGTTGACTCGACGAGTCGAGTGAGGCCTTAGAGGATTCAGAGGACACGTATGGACTCGCCGAGTCACCCGAGTGCACTCGACGAGTCTGGTCAAAGTTGGACCGTTGACTGGGGTTGACTTTTAGGGTTTAGTCAACTTTTGGACAGTGGACCATTGGAGGGGTAAAATGGTCTTTTCCCCTTCTAAGAGAATATAGGGAGGGATTATTCTAGCCTTTGAGGGCCGTATTAATTAGAGATAGTTACTTAATGTGATTAGGCGGAGGCTAGAGCAGATATTCGAGTTCGAGACTTTCCAAGATTTCCCGAGGTGAGTCTTCTCACTATACATTACCTAGAGTGGTATCTATGTGCAGACCGGAGGGTCTTATGTGTTATGTGTATGTTTGAGTTTATGTGCATTGTGATATATGTATGCTATGTGTTGTATAGACCGGACCGGATGGTCCAACGATTTAGACCAGACTGGAGGGTCCAACGATTTAGACCGGACTGGAGGGTCCAACGAGCTAGACCGGACTGGAGGGTCCAACGAGCTACGAGACTGGAGGGTCCCGCCGAGACACATTGACCAGAGGGTCATACCGAGTTATAGCCTCGAGTGGCTTATGTGTTGTATTTGGTATATTGGGGAACTCACTAAGCATTTATGGTTACCGTGTTATGTGATATGTGTTTCAGGTACCAGCGAGGATCGCGGGAAGGCGCCGACATGATTTGTACACACTGGCAGGAGATTTTGTATTGAGATTCGGGGAATGTTTTATTATGATGACATTTGATACATGAGATTTGAGAATATTATATGAGCTTTTATTATGTTGAAAAATGAAAAATTGTTTTAAAATTTTACATCGTTACAAGTTGGTATCAGAGTCTTGGTTTGAGAGATTCGGATGCACCTCTGGGCGTATCTGAACTCAAACTGAGGATTTGAGAGAATTTTTCATAAAAGAAACAATTTTTCTAAAAGAGTAAAAGATTTTTGAGAAAAGCAAAACGGAGCAGTGTGTACGATCAGCCAGCGCTCGAACGGTGATTTCCCAAAATACCCTTACATTATGTGTTATGAGATATTATGTGATATGTTATGCATGCTAGAGTAGGCTAGGTATTCATGGTTAGGACTAGAGTGGGCCTGATTTGTGATGCCTTAGCCTAGGAGTTATTGCTACTATGAGATACTTCGAGAGTGAGGAGGTAGCAGCGAGGAGCTTATGAGTGATCTACCGGAGAATAGCCTGAGTTTAGCGAGATATAGAGTACTTGTGATCTGGGATCCTAGGAGGAGGACTTGGAGTGAATACCGATGCGTTGTGGAAGGTAGTATATGGCTCGTACTACTGGAAACACCGGATCGATGAGCAGTCCAAGTAAGAATCCTTAGGGTACTAAAGAACAAGTAGGGTTGAGTATCGAGTGCGAGTATACTCGAGCGAATCTCTGATTTCTTTTGTGTTGTATTTCAGAGACATCATGGTTGGGACGCGCCACCACCCACGAGGCAGTGGTACCAGTGATGAGGAGATCCGTAGGTTGATTCACGAGGAGGTGGCCGCAGCCATACGGGGGGAGATTCCTGAGATGTTTGGGTCTATCAAGACCACTTTGATTGAGACGTTTGATGAGCGGTATGCTTCTCTTACCGAGGCTGCTGTTGCTACAGCCACTGCAGCCGTCGCCGCTGCCAGGCCACAGGGGGGTGACTCGTTGCTGTACCGAGAGTTCAGCAACACGAAGCCACCAGAGTTTGATGGGACTCAGGATCCGATAGCAGAAACGAGGTGGATCTCTGACATTGAGGGATGCTTCTACACCTGTTCTTGTCCGGAGCATCTAAGGGTACGGTTCGCGCTGAACCAGCTTCGCTTGGGAGCGAAGGACTGGTGGAAGTTTGTTACGGCAGACTTCACTCCTGCAGAGATTACAGCGGTGACCTGAGAGAGGTTCACCACCATGTTCCGAGATGAG